GTATTGGTTTGCTTGCAATCCGAGATCGTCTCACAGTAAACATCGACGAATGACGTAAATTGTTTTTTTTTGCTCTTGTCGACGTTGGTTTTTAATTTTTAAAGCCAAAACACACTAAACCAAAGAATTCATGTGATTTTTGCGTTGTTTGTATTCACGACTTGGCGCCGCCAACAAAATTTTCTAATTGCCTTTATTTCATTCTAAATGTGATTTGAAATGTCCGTATTTTCTGTGGCGTATTTAATAATTGTCATCTCTTTTATTCCTTGCCATCAATCAGTTTGAAGAGAACCGGCGCCGAGGTTGAGATCAAATGAAATGTCTGCCACATTATTGCGATTCAGTTTTTGTGCGAAGAATTTGTCGAAATGGAATTTGGTTGCGACCCAGATAAATCGAACATTTGCATCACGATCCGGCAATTTATCGGCTGATGCAACAGCCGCTGCAGCTACATCACGCAAAATCGAACTGAAAGAACCCATTGGCAGCGATAAACTACAGAATCTCTTTGACAACGAAGTGAAAAATGGTGATATCGTTCCGGTTTTTAAACGTGCACTTCTTTATGGTAACAAAATCGCTGTCAAAGATCCAACCGGCGAATATTCATATCGACAAATCCTTGAAGCCGCTCGCAAATTATCCATTGAACTATCGGCACATAGTAACGGTAAGTGGGCTCTTGACATTGATATGGTGTGAAATATTGGAGTGTGATCAGTGATATCTCGATAAAAACAGCAATTTTCGGGGTTTTTTTCTTCTGAAAAAATACTTTCTGATACTCAGTGTTTTCACATTCGTATTAACAAAAATGACGCAAAACTCAAACAAAACAAAAACTGTGTGTATATTTTTTTCAGTGTCAGCAAACGAAACCAAAGTAGCCTTTCTCTGTTCGAATTCAGCGGTATACTCGGTGGTGCAATGGGCTTGCTGGATTTCAGGTCAAACCGGTGAGCATCTCCTGATCAATTGAACGAAGAGCCAATTATTTTCGGAATATTCCTCTTCTTCTTATTGTTATTTGTATTGTGAAATTCATATTTATTCCATATGACGCAATTGCGTTCCAACAATGTATTTCGCAATAAGAAGAAGAGTAAAGTCCCGAAAATACCAGTTCTTCAATTGAATGATGAATAATTGCAATTATTAATCTAATCTTCAAATTGGTCTTTAAAAATAAAAGCGGTGCCATTGAGTTCACGTCATCCGCCGGAGTTGTTGAAGTATTATGTTGGTGATTCTGATGCGCAAATCATCGTAACAACACCAGAGTATCAAGCAAAATTGAGGCCCGTTGCTGAGGCATTGGGTCGCAAAGTCATTTGTCTGGATCACAGTTGCATTCCAAGCGAAGCCGATTTCAATCCAACCGAAGAATACAATGTAATCGATATCAACAATCAATTTTCCACCGGTCAATTTTATCGCAATTCCAACGCATTGATTCTCTACACATCTGGTTCGACCGGATTGCCAAAGGGAACCGTCATTTCACACAAGAATATCCAATCACAAACGCTAACACTGACCAATGTGTGGCGAATCAATGCTCAAGATAACATATTACATGTGTTGCCATTGAATCATGTGCACGGATGTGTAAATGCGCTGCTGTGCCCTCTGAGCGTTGGTGCCAAGGTGATAATGCATCAGCAATTCGATCCGACAGCCGTATGGAGTAAATTGTTGAACATAAACACACCGACCAAAAATCGAATCAACGTATTTATGGCCGTTCCAACGATTTACAGCCTCTTGATCGCCGAGTATGAAAAGGCATTCGGCAAAAATGATCGAATGGTCGAGTACATTCGTGAATTGTGCGAAAAGAAAATCCGACTAATGATTTCTGGATCGGCGCCATTGCCAACCAACGTATTCACTACGTGGCAACGAATAACCGGCCACAAATTGCTTGAGCGATACGGAATGACGGAAATCGGAATGATTCTCTCGAATCCATACTACATTGATGCAAACAGAGATCGAATCCCTGGCTCAGTAGGGAGTGTTCTTCCCGACACCACCGTCAGATTGGTGAACGACAAGCGTATCATATGCGAGGTGAAAGGTGAATACGGTAAAGGACTATGGGCACCACCAGCCACAACACAAACAAATTTCAAATTCACAGCACCAAAACCAGCGACGATCGAAGGCAGCGCAAACAAAGCCACCGAAACGAACAATATGATTGGTGAGGTGTATGTGAAAGGGCCATCAGTATTTGTAGAGTACTATAAAAAACCGGACGAAACAAAGAATGCATTCGAAGATGGTTGGTTTAAAACGGGCGATGTGGCCAAATATGAAAATGGCATTTTCAAAATTCTCGGACGATCAAATGTAGACATTATCAAAACTGGTGCGTACAAAGTGTCAGCATTGGAAATTGAAACACACCTATTGGAGCATCCATCGATAGCTGATGTTTGCGTTGTTGGTGTGCCGGATCCAACGTGGGGCCAAAAAATTGCCGCTCTCATTGTTTGCAAAGAGAATTCAAACGAAAATGCTGACGCATTGACGCTACCAAAATTGCGCGCTTGGTGCGAAGAACGAATTGCCTCCTATCAAATACCGTCAATCATTAAGCTAATGGACGAAATACCACGGAATGCTATGGGCAAAACCAACAAAAAAGAGATCGTCCGTGATTATTTCGCCGAAAAGGATCGAGCATAACACTGTTTTGATTTTTGATTTGTGGGTTTTTTTTTTCTTCTTGGAATTCAACAGATTTTCCTTTTTCTTTTTTCGTATGGAATGGAAACAACGTGAGCACACACTTTCTTTTTGGGAGCAACCAATTCAACATTGCTTATTCGTATGCGTGATACGGAATTATCGATTCGGCAATAAAATAAAAATACAAAAGCAGAAACCGAATCGCATAATTTATACGAAACACATTTTATTCGAATATTTCATTATTACTAAAACATATATAAGATTCATTGATATTTCAAGTTTCTCATCATTATATGCGCATCTATTATCGAAAAAATAAAATATGAAAAACAAAAATAAATAAATATGTACATTGAAACGAAAACTACGGTTTTTTGTACGATTTTGGCCTCGATCGAACGAGCGTAGGGAAAATTAATAGAGAAACAGGTAGGGAAAACAAAGCGCCATCAAAATGCGGTGAAATTATGTGTGAAAATGCAATTTAGGCATTTTGGCGCCAACTTGTGGCTGTAGCGAATGTTTTTACTTTTTTTTCTTTCGAAAAGGTGCACGTATGCCGAATGGCGTTGGATTTTCCAACCGGGCCTGCTGTTGCTGCCACCGCTGCTGCTGCCATTCGGTATAATGCGACCGATTCGATTTTCATTCGATAAAAATCGCATTCGTCAGCTCTATTTTTATCATCGCGACGGCAAATGACGATTAGCATTTCTATTTTCCGTTGCTATTCTTGGTGGCCTGCTTTGAATTGGATCAGCCAGAAAAACATAATAAACGAAAAAAAAAATAGAATTCAAGTCTATGAATTATGGATTTGGTTTCGATTGTTTTTACCAATCCAGTTGCATTTATCGGAATTTTTCTTGGAGTCTCCATCACCTCCACATACACAGATATTCATTTCAGAACAGATACACGAAAAAGGTCAACAGCTACAATGTTAAAATATGCAAGCATCAGCTGTAGATTTTCCACTACAACAAACGCATTTCGCTCTTTGCCAAGTGGCCTCCGAAGGAGTGCTCAAGCTCTTCACTGCCAACACAACCGAGAGAATGAAAGTAGAAGCGAGAGAGCAAGCGAGAGAGAGAGAGAGAGAGAGAGAGCAGGGAAAAACGATAGTGGAGGACGAAGAAGAAAAAGAAATGAAACGGTTGCCCAGTTGAATGGGTTTTATTGTGTGTTCCGACAAGTGCAGAAATCTACAACACGAAAATCGTACAAATAGAACCGTAATGTAGCCAATACACAAGACAGAAGAAAACGATGAAAAAGAAGTAGGAACAAAAACCACACAGTTCCAAATGATTTTCACAATACACACATGCATCGCTATGCTAAACGACACAATACATGAATGAATGTTGCGCGCGCGCAAGCCACACCGTGATACACACAAAGCTCGGTATATTCATTCGGCTGGCAGCGCGAAAACGGGACGACCGACAAAAATGAAGAAATTGAAGGAAAAATCTATGCCAAGATTTTGGCATCTAGAGGCTCGCTGCCACATATCCACGGCAGAACAACAGTGTAAATCAAATCGCTGAAAAAGATCTTTAAGTCAGCAAACATTTTAGCACAATGTCAAACGATAATACGGATACACTTTTTTATGCCATGACTTTTTTGTTATCGATATTTTTCTCAATTTGGCCATGTTAACGCATTTTCAGCTAACAATTTGCTAGCACACACATTCTGCGAATTTTCCTGCTTTAAAGTGTATCTTATTTCAGCTGTCGTTTTTTTCCTCTTCATACACACAAAGACAAATCCGTCCAAGTTCAGCATTTACAATGAAAAAAAAAGAAGCATTGGTATGAAATCGGAACTCAGAGCACGCAAACACATGCGATAAAAAAAAAACAACACCGTGCCCATATTCATCAACGAAAGTGATGTAGCACCACACATTGAAGCACACTTTACACACACGAATACGCCACATTTCGTGGTGTCTGACAGCAGCACTGCTGTGGTATGGCGCGAGTGTGTGTGAGTGCCTACAATTGCTCATACTTTTTCATTTTCAAGGTTTTCCTTTACTTTGGAAAAGCGAAAGAATTTTGTGTGAGGTACTTTTTTTTCATTCGTTCGTTCGTTCATTCTGTGGAAAAACGATGCCTGAGCTGCCCGAAATGAGCAATATCGAAATCCATTCGAACAGGAGGATTTTTGGTGAAAACTGTCAATTCAAACAGCATTGGAATGGGGTTTTCTCGCGCTTTTGATGTCATGAATAAGTTATTTTTTACCGCACCCCGATATTTTGAAAATCTTCATTTTTTTATCATTCCACGTAGAAGTCAATTTTCAAGCGAAATTCCAATATGATTCTGCGAAGAATCTCTCTCTCTCTCTCTCTCTCTCTTTCTCTCTCAAACTCTACGTTTTCTTCTTTCTCTCATTTGTATTCTCTGTTGGTCCCTTGTTGAATTTTTTTTTCATTCGTTCTCTGTGTTGTGTTTTTTTTTTTCGTTGGCCCAGCTTAAGTTTTTACTATACTCCACAGAATATGAGAAACATGAATCAATGTTTCGTTGTGTACGGCTGGCTATACGGTGTCATACCGTTGCATGTGTACTTGCCAGTGCTGGTGCTACAGTGCTGAAATGGGTTTTGATGAGTGTTGCCCTCTCACTCACTCTCACTCTGTCGTTCTCCACACATGCTGAACACGCACATACAAACACACACAGCTAGATCGAGTGAGAAAGCGAGCACGAGTGTGTGTTCCGTGTGTACGTGTATATGTATGGTTGAAAGTATCGAGAGTGCCATTTAGGTATCGGTCGTATGGTCGACGACAACATGTGTGCGAATGAATGTATATATATGTGTGTGTGTGTGTGTGGTGGGCTTTCACGAAAGAGACATGGGCAACGCGCGAACACATGTACGACACGCACACACCCAAACAGGGGCTCCGTATAATCAAATGGTGGCGAAAAATCGTATTGCAACTAACTTAATACCAATATTCATCAATATTCGGTCCGTCTGCTGCCGCCATATTAACTTCTCTCTCTTAGTGTTATAACAAAAATTTTCCCGATTGCAGAAAGTGAAAAAGCAAAGTTACAAAAAAAGAGACGAAAGAATCAAGTAGTTGACGAAAAAAATTCTTCATAGAATTGGTTACAATTTCTGGTGTGATATTTTTTTTTCAACAACACAACGACGACGACACAGCTACTGATCGTCATCCACATTAAAAGAGAAGAAAAAAAAGAGGTGCACGAGAGAAGAAGAAGCAAAAAAAAGAAGAATAGAGAGAATTGAAATCAAGTAAAGCAAAATCAAAATATAAATCATACGTATTTAAAAGTACAAAAATAAAGTAAAAGTTTAGAGTATAACAAACACAGAAAAAAGTCATCAACAGAAGCGAAAAAAAAAACGAAGAAGAAAAATTATGATAATAAAATAAGAAGAGTGAAACGACATTACGATTTCTCGATGTAATTAAACAAGTTGAAATTGTGTGTGCTTTCAAGTTCTGTTCGTTCGTTTGTTCGTTTTTAATCATTCGATTTCGATTCCATCGAATTTTTGTGTTGGACGAGAGCAAAAAAAAAAAAATGTCCGCAAAATACAGGAAGAAATCGAAGCGAGAAAAAAAATCAAGCAGTTTATTTTAGATATAGAATAAACCATTTTCATTTCTATTCGCGAAACCATTGATTTGTTACTCCGAATCTGACGACGATACACACACTCTTTTTTTTCTTTTCCTAAATATTTGATTCGTTTGTTCCGTTTGTTCGTTCGTTCATTTCGGACAATGTGTGATACTATCGGTAGTTTTTCCTTTCCTTTGCTATACAGTGAAATTGTACTCTTTCGTTCACATTGTTGTACCTGCCTTTGAATCTATCTATATATATATATGAATACATATAGATATACATATATTGCTTGTTTTAACCAAATATACGCTCCAAACGAAATTCCATCGCGGTACATGTATCCACAATATACTGTTGGATACGTAAAACTTAGCAAGCAATTTTTTTTCGGGTTTTCTTCTATCTTCATCGAAGCACAACAAATCATTTGCATCACAAAGTCAATGGGAGTTATTTCATTTAATATATATATATATATATATATATATAGATATAGATATATACAGAGATCGGGTAGCAATGTGAAGAATAGCTGCATAGCACATACTACATATAGTATACATATATATGTATGAAATAAAATAATGAACACAACAGAGGAAGAAGAAAAAAAAGAGAAAGAAATTATCTAAGTACTGCTTATTTTTTTTTTCGACGACAAAATGAATTACGACGTCGATGACGATTTACGTGAAGTAAAGGGAAATTGTGTGTGGTGCGTGTTAGTGTCAATTTATCAAAATGAGAAAGAAGTAAAAAGCAGAAGAAGAAAAAAAAATATAAAGAAATTGTAAGAAACAAATAAGCAAATTACACATAGAGACCAAAAACGAAAAAGTATACACAATCGTATGTATGAATTGAATTATATATATGCGTGTAACCACCGGAAAAAGAAGAAGAAGAAAAAGCAAAATTTTCTCGTAAAAATCGAATAAGAAATTTAAACTCTAAGATTAAGGAATCATCGACTCTCAGAGAGGCAACGAATCGAAAATCCATGATAGAGAGAGTGAGAGAGAGTGAGAGAGAGAGAGAGAGAGAGAGAGAGAGAGAAAGAAAGAAAGAAAGAGAGGCGAAAAAAATAGAGAGAACCGTTTCTTTTCCCTCTCATTTCGTTCCGAAATTCGGTGGACCAAGTGATGGAAGCGAGCTGAATGGCACCTAATATGCCATGACATAAACTTGCGAAAGGCGTTACTCGTATTTTGATATAGTTCCATATTTTCATCACATCTGTGCATAAATAAAATCGTGTATGACAGACATATCGTTGTCAGTGTGATTGTACGACGACCGCAACGACAATGACGAAAAATAAAATACGAAATTTTCTCTCTTTCGTTGTCATTTTGGTGTGAAAAGGTTTTGGAATTTTTAGGTGTCATTCGGTTTGACTCGGCTTAGCTCGTAGTTTACACTTATCTGAAGGATTTCTCACATGCACCTTCCTTCATTGAAGATGCATCCGTTTATTCAAAAGAGAAAAAATCGAGAAAAAAACACACCGAGAACAAAAAGCTTGGCATTTTGAAATCCGGTGCACAGTTATCAAATGAAAGCGACCAAATTTATTGTTGATTTTTTTGTTTTTGCTTCGTTCATTTCATTCGGATTGAAAGTAAAAGTCAGTATTGATTGGTGTGTTGAATTTCGGTGCCATAGCTATTGTTTCCGTAAAGTCGAATGTGTGCTGTTGTCGTTTGAGCATTTGCTTGTTGTTGTTTTT